CAAGAAATCGTAATGACACGATTGCAAATAAACCATACCCCCGGCCGGGATTGAACCCGCGGTCATAGAGTCTCAAAACTCCAGCCCGTCGCGTTAGCCACTAGACCAGCTAGCCACAATAAGATTCATCCAACTAGGTATATTTCTACACCATAGGAAAGTTAGCACAGGCTAACTTGCATTTGTGGTCACAGAGGTGCCTGTGCTAACTTTCCTATGGTGTAGAAATATACCTAGTTGGATGAATCTTATTGTGGCTAGCTGGTCTAGTGGCTAACGCGACGGGCTGGAGTTTTGAGACTCTATGACCGTGGGTTCAATCCCGGCCGGGGGTATGGTTTATTTGCAATCGTGTCATTACGATTTCTTGAGTCATGTTGACGGCAGTGAAGGGACTTGAGCTAGAGTTCGTCACGGCCACGCTAGCTGGAGATTCGTCTGTAAAAACTTGCATTTGTGGTCACAGAGGTGCCTGTGCTAACTTTCCTATGGTGTAGAAATATACCTAGTTGGATGAATCTTATTGTGGCTAGCTGGTCTAGTGGCTAACGCGATGGGCTGGAGTTTTGAGACTCTATGACCGCGGGTTCAATCCCGGCCGGGGGTATGGTTCATATCGGCAACTTGTACAGTGACAGAGTCTTGGCCCATTTTAGGGAAGTTTTAAAGAGACGCCAGAAACAGAGCTCTCTGGACACTTTTTTTGCGAGACAAGACTCCAGTGACTCTCAAGCTGGTCCTAATGGCATTAAGAAACAGAGAAGAGAAGTAACCCCAGAAAAGGACTTGGTACCTGAGGTGTTGATGGAAGGGGATTCCCCTTCCAAACAGTAACTAATCCAATCTCTCTCCTCCTCCAGTCTTCCATACACTAAGAAGAATTGCCAATAAAGGTAAGTGTTATGCTGTTAATGTTTCATTCATCATGTCCCATTGTATTGTTTATGTACTACATCTATATTTCATGTAAAAAAAATTTTTGTTTTAATACTTCTGGGTGTCAGGAATAGATTAATTGTATTTACATTATTTCTTATGGGGAAAATTGATTCGAAAATCGTCTGTTTCGATAACAGTCCCACTTCCAGGAACGGATTAAGGACAATAATTGAAGGACCACTGTATATTGAACAACCATGGTGACATCACACATCCTTGTTTAAAGCCTACTTTTACTGGGAAATATCTCCCTTTCTCCTACATACTCAACCTGAGCCTCACTATCCTCATAAAAACTTTTCACCACTTTCAATAACCTACCTCCTTTTCCATACATTTGCAACATCTGCCACATTCCCTCCCTATCCACCCTGTGATATGCCTTTTCCAAATCCATAACTGCCACAAAAACCTCTTTACCCTTATCTAAATACTGTTTACCTATATGTTTCTCTGTGAACACTTGGTCTACACACCCCCTACCCTTCTTAAAGCCTCCTTGTTCATCTGCTATCCTACTCTCCGTCTTACTCTTAATTCTTTCAATAATAACTCTACCATACACTTTACCAGGTTTACTCAACAGACTTATTCCCCTATAATTTTTGCATTCTTTTATCCCCTTTGCCTTTATACAAAGGAACTATGCATACTCCCTGCAAATCCCTAGGTACCTAACCCTCTTCCATACAGTTATTAAATAATAGCACCAACCACTCCAGAACTATAACCCCACCTGCTTTTAACATTTCTATCTTTATCCCATCAGTCCCAGCTACCTCACCCCCTTTTATTCTACTCACGCTTCATGAACTTCCCCCACACTTACAACTCGCTCCTCCTCACTCCTACAAGATGTTATTCCTCCTTGCCCTATACACAAAATCACAGCTTCCCTATCTTCATCAACATTTAGCAGTTCCTCAAAATATTCCCTCCATCTTTCTGATACCTCTAAGTTTCCATTGAATAACTCTCCTCTCCTACTTTTAACTGTCAAATCCATTCATTCCCTAGTCTTCCTCAACTTATTAATCTCATTCCAAAACTTTTTCTTATTTTCAACAAAATTTGTTGATAACATCTCACCCACTCTCTCATTTGCTCTCTTGTTACACTGCTTCACCCCTCTCTTAACCTCTCTTTTCCTCTCCATGTACTCCTCCCTCTTTGCATCACTTCTCATATTCTAACTTTTTCTCTTTACTAATCTCTTTGCATCATCATTCCACCATTCACTCTTCTTCCCTCCTGCACCCACTTTCCTGTAACCACAAACTTCTGCTGAACACACTAACATCTTCAACCCCATTGCCTACTCTCACTAGCCCATCTATCCTCCAATAGTTGTTTATATCTTCCATAACTTTATATATTAGTTCTAATAGTTCAGTGGCAGACTACATCTTGTTGAATCAGTTCTTATATACAAGATTTCTAACATTAATTCTGGTTCTATTTGTGAATTGTTCTGGTCGCTGTATTGACTTATTCTTCAAGTTGAAACCTTAGTTTTTGCTTAAAAATTTTGTTTAACCACTTAACTGTCCAAACGTAGATCTACATTCTCTTGCCCAGCACTCTGTATATCTTGAAAAAAAAAAATTAATTAACGAGTGCAATTTTTTGTGTGTAATAAGACCATTAAAAAAATTAGGGTCATTACTTACCAAAATATAAGGCTGCTAAGTTGGCACTGAATGCTCACCTGACGGCTGTTAACATGGACTCCTGCTGCTTGCAGAAATGTTGCTGATATACCTTTTTTTATTTGTATAATTTTTATGTTCTGATAATTACAATTTGTAGTAGTACTTGTGATTTCATAGCCAATCTTTGCTCTGACACAAATATTAGGTACTGAAATAGTACTCAAATAGTCACAGACACACAGACAGGTGAGCATTTTCACCTGCCTTGGCCACATACTATTGTCTAGAAATATATACAGAGTATTTATAGATTCCAGCAATGTTTTAGACATGCTGGAGTGTTTATGAAACTCCTTGAAGCACGGTGTAAGATGAGTGTCACTCCACTGCTGACAATGCAGCAGTGGAGCGACACTTGATGATCGTGACTTTACAGCCTCTCCTCACTTAACGACTTACTCGTTTACCGATGCCTCAGACTTATGATGGGCTCTCTGATTTCTTCTATTCTGTTTATTTCAACGTACAATACACTACTGTATAAACATTTAAAAATATGCCAGAAATGTTATAAATGATGCAAAGGTGACATTTAAACAATATCAAAGATGGTTGACACACACCCACTACCATTATAGTGTGCTCCTCTCTTAGTGACAAATTCACTTAATGACGTGGTCTTAGGAACGGAACTCTGTCGTTAACCCTTTCTGGGTTGGTGCTGTACTAGTACGGCTTGCATGCCAGGGTTGGTGCCGTACTAGTACGCATAAATTCTAGCGCCTTCAAATCTAGTGAGAGAAAGCTGGTAGGCCTACATATGAAAGAATGGGCCTATGTGGTCAGTGTGCACAGTATAAAAAAAATCCTGCAGCACACAGAGCATAATGAGAAAAAAAAACTCCGACCGTGTTTTTTGTTTAAAACAGCGACTTTGCAGTGTATTTTCGTATACTATTTATGGCTGTATTCTAGTTTTCCTGGTCTCATTTTATAGAATGGAAGACATATTACGGAAAATGAGATGATTTTGATTGGTTTCACAATGAAAAGTACCTTGAAATTGAGCTCAAAATAGCAGAAATGTTCGATTTTTGCCCAAGTTCAAAAGTAAACAAAACATGCCATGTGTCCAATACACATCAACTGGTGAGTCTAATATTCTTTCACAAGTGCGCTGATATTATTTATACCATTTCTACACTTATGCAGTAGTCTGCATAACAGTAAATCTTCTATTTTTTGTGAGAATAAAAATTCAAAGTGGAAAGCAAAAGAAATGTAACAGAGGCCTGGGGGACGTGACTAATGAACAGAGGAAATGTTATTTTAGTGCCAGGAATGTCTGTCTTGTTTATTCTGGACCATATTTGGAAATTGGCATCTTTTGAAATTTGTGTGAAATTGACAAAATTGCCAATTCTGATCACTTTATTGGATAGTTGAAATCAGTAAATGGTTGGTTTCTTGTGCTCATTCAGTAGAAAAATGGAGTTCTAGCGAAATAGTTATGATTTTTGTCGACTGGTACATTGGAATTGGCCGACAGTAGGGCTCAAAGTGAGTGAAATCGCCGATGCGTCAACATCGTTGAGACCGCTAACTTCGTGAGAGCATAATTCCGTAAGTTTTCCATCAAATTTCATACTTTGGTGTCATTATGATAGGGAAAAGATTCTCTGTCATTCTGTAAGAATTTTTTTTTTTTGTTTTTTTTTCGAAAAATTTCCAACCCTGAGAACAAGTTTAGGAGAGAGCCTGCCGACCCTGAAAGGGTTAAGCGAGGCGAGGCTGTACATATTTGTTTTCACTGTTGCATATAAATATGTCTGTCTATCTGTTTGTCTGTCTAGCTCTGTTTATCTGTGTCTGCTTATCTGTCTTTGTCTGCCTGTGTGTCTGTCTTCCTGTCTCTCTTTCTGTCTCGGAGAGAGAGCCACTCATAAACCAACACATGATGCAGAGTCATCACATCTGATTCCTGAACACATTAAAATGCTTATTACTTGCCAGTCATGTTTATTATGGCTTACATCTACAAGCACAATATAACACGTTGTCTGGATTTTTTGGGGGTTATCCTAGGTAACTTACAAAATGTATGCAAACCTAACTACTCTGTAATCCAGCAAAATCACTAATTTGGCACTCTACAGGTTTCGATGGTGCCGGATTAGTGATGGTCAACTTGTACTATATTCAGACTGTGGTTTTACCATAGGTGTTTAAAATCTCCTTCTACTGTTACCCCTATAACTATCTAAAATCTTGGAACTAACCCTGAACATTGAGCAAAATTTACCTGTGTATGTCATCTCATTAATAGGTAAATAGATACAAAATTGCATATTGTACTATGTATAATTCATTGCTGTAATTTTTACCAGTTTTGTATGTATGTTAATACAGGTGCATGAGGTGGTGTTGCTTGTAGAGGAACCAGGATCTGTCATCTGTTGGGACTTTGATGTTATGAAGAATGATGTGTCATTCTCTGTCTTGCGAACTAAGGTTCCCATAACTCATCGGCCAGAGCCACAGTCACCAACGGGTAAGAACAGTGCATTAGTTTGGAGCAATCACTGAATGAGGAAGAGAACTGGTAAATTTGTTAATAAAATGTAATGCCAACATTGCAATAAATGACTAAGATAATGTTGGCTGTGAAGGTGGAAAAAAAATAATACTGTAATAATAGTAATAATAAGAACATAAGAGCAACCGCCCAGGGAAGTACTGCCATCCTGCCAAGTGAGTGTAAAACAGAAGCCTGTACTTGTTTTACATGATGGTAAGATTGCTGGTGTCTTTTCTCTGTCTCATAAACGTGCAAGATTTCAGGTACGTCTTTTTACTTCTGCTTACACTTAAGTCACTACACATACATGTACAATCATATATATACACACAAATCCCTCTGGGTTTTCTTCTATTTTCTTACTAGTTCTTGTTCTTGTTTATTTCCTCTTCTCTCCATGGGGAAGTGGAACAGAATTTTTCCTCCGTAAGCCATGCGTATTGTAAGAGGCGACTAAAATGCTGGGAGCAAGGGGCTAGTAACCCCTTCCCTGTATAAATTACTAAATTTAAAATGAGAAACTTTTGTTTTTCTTTTTGAGCCACCCTGCTTCGGTGGGATACAGCTGGTTTGTTGAAAGAAAGAAGAAGAAGAAGAACATAAGAAATAAGGAACACTGCAGCAGGCCTACTGGCCCATGCGAGGCACGTCCAATTCTACTGGCTTAAGCCAACGCCCTAACCTAGTCAGGTCTGGTCACATTCACTTAAGGAAGGAGCACTGCATCTGACCTAGTAGCACAAGCTAGTTACGTCCAACTCACATCCACCCACACCCACCAATGTATTTACATAACCTATATGACATAAAAATAATATGCGATTTTGTTATTCTTGAGTGCCTATTCTTTTAAGAAATTCACAAACACTCACACACCAAGTCATAAATGCAACAACAACAATGAAGAAATACTGAAGGTTATATTCAAGAATGACAGTATAATCATCAGGAATAAAAACCTTAGAAAAGGGATGTGCTTTCAACTGAGATTTGAAAGCAAGCACAAATTCTTTCTGCAGTTGATTTCTTCCCAACAGCACAAGGCTCATTCAGTCTAAAAGGGTCTGCAGTAATTTGCAGAAATATTCCCAATCCAGTGTGAAAGGTACAAGCATGTCATCAAACATGATGTACAGTGGAACCTCCACTAACGAGTTTAATCCGTTTTGTGACCTTGCTCACATCTAAATTTGCTCGCTTGCAGAGTCAATTTTCCTCATTTAAATTAATTGAAATACAATTAATTCATTTCAGTGGAATTCCAGGCACCATAAAATACTTCAATAATTTCCCTAATATCAACTCTACGGCTTATTCATCTATCAAAATAAACAATATTAATAACATAGAAACATGATATATGTACACTAGAATGAATGAAATGTTATGGATATGAGTAGTGTTAGTGGCTGCCATTGCTGTTGGGGCCACAACGGCAGCCATTCCTCCTACTGACTTCATACCTTCCCATGCTTTTATTATAACAGACAATGGAGTGTTTGTAAGGCAAAATCCATTAATCGTTTAATTGCTACACTCTTAATGCTACACCTAGATTGTGTTTATGTATGATTTCCTGCTTTAATTCCATGGAAATCATCCTCTTTTTTCTTCTCAGCACGGTCCTTTGCACTTGCTTTCTTAGGACCCTTGGTTAGAAACAAGAAATTTCACAAAATAACTGCACGAAATGTAAGGAAAACACAATTATTTCCCTCCCTCCGTGAGCGGCAATGTTTTGATACTCATACATACTGGCATCTAGTGGTGGCGATCTGAAACTCACTTATAGTAGTATTATTATTATAATTACATATTATTTATTAGTATGTACATATTCTTATAATAATTTATATATTACGTATATAATTATTAAATTATACATTATTATTTTTTATTTTTTTATTATCACACTGGCCGATTCCCACCAAGGCAGGGTGGCCCGAAAAAGAAAAACTTTCACCATCATTCACTCCATCACTGTCTTGCCAGAAGGGTGCTTTACACTACAATTTTTAAACTGCAACATTAACACCCCTCCTTCAGAGTGCAGGCACTGTACTTCCCATCTCCAGGACACAAGTCCGGCCTGCCGGTTTCCCTGAACCCCTTTATAAATGTTACTTTGCTCACACTCCAACAGCACGTCAAGTATTAAAAACCATTTGTCTCCATTCACTCCTATCAAACACGCTCACACATGCCTGCTGGAAGTCCAAGCCCCTCGCACACAAAACCTCCTTTACCCCCTCCCTCCAACCTTTCTTAGGCCGACCCCTACCCCGCCTTCCTTCCACTACAGACTGATACACTCTTGAAGTCATTCTGTTTCACTCCATTCTCTCTACATGTCCGAACCACCTCAACAACCCTTCCTCAGCCCTCTGGACAACAGTTTTGGTAATCCCGCACCTCCTCCTAACTTCCAAACTATGAATTCCCTGCATTATATTCACACCACACATTGCTCTCAGACATGACATCTCCACTGCCTCCAGCCTTCTCCTCACTGCAACATTCATCACCCATGCTTCACACCCATATAAGAGCGTTGGTAAAACTATACTCTCATACATTCCCCTCTTTGCCTCCAAGGACAAAGTTCTTTGTCTCCACAGACTCCTAAGTGCACCACTCACTCTTTTCCCCTCCTCAATTCTATGATTCACCTCATCTTTCATAGACCCATCCGCTGACAGGTCCACTCCCAAATATCTGAATACATTCACCTCCTTGATACTCTCTCCCTCCAATCTGATATCCAATCTTTCATCACCTAATCTTTTTGTTATCCTCATAACCTTACTCTTTCCTGTATTCACTTTTATTTTCTTCTTTTGCACACCCTACCAAATTCATCCACCAATCTCTGCAACTTCTCTTCAGAATCTCCCAAGAGCACAGTGTCATCAGCAAAGAGCAACTGTGACAACTCCCACTTTGTGTGTGATTCTTTATCTTTTAACTCCACGCCTCTTGCCAAGACCCTTGCATTTACTTCTCTTACAACCCCATCTATAAATATATTAAACAACCATGGTGACATCACACATCCTTGTCTAAGGCCTACTTTTACTGGGAAATAATTTCCCTCTTTCCTACATACTCTAACTTGAGCCTCACTATCCTCTTAAAAACTCTTCACTGCTTTCAGTAACCTACCTCCTATACCATAAACCTGCAACATCTGCCACATTGCCCCTATCCACCCTGTCATACGCCTTTTCCAAATCCATAAATGCCACAAAGACCTCTTTAGCCTTATCTAAATACTGTTCACTTATATGTTTCACTATGTTTCACTGTAAACACCTGGTCCACACACCCCCTACCTTTCCTAAAGCCTCCTTGTTCATCTGCTATCCTGTTCTCCGTCTTACTCTTAATTCTTTCAATAATAACTCTACCATACACTTTACCAGGTATACTCAACAGACTTCTCCCCCTATAATTTTTGCACTCTCTTTTGTCCCCTTTGCCTTTATACAAAGGAACTATGCATGCTCTCTGCCAATCCCTAGGTACCTCATCCATACATTTATTAAATAATTGCACCAACCACTCCATAACTATATCCCCACCTGCTTTTAACATTTCTATTTTTATCCCATCAATCCCGGCTGCCTTACCCCCTTTCATTTTACCTACTTCCTCATGAACTTCCCCCACGCTCACAACTGGCTCTTCCTCACTCCTACAAGATGTTATTCCTCCTTGCCCTATACACAAAATCACAGCTTCCCTATCTTCATCAACATTTAACAATTCCTCAAAATATTCCCTCCATCTTCCCAATACCTCTAACTCTCCATTTAATACATATACATCTTATTATTATTAGTAGTAGTAGTACGTATTCGTATAATAATACTCTTGCTTACCGTTTGGAATTTTTATTCACACAAAAAAATAGAAGATTTACTCTTATGCAGACTACTGCATTATTATAATAATTGTACGAAAACTGTCAACCCATTCATGATTGCATATTGGAATGGACAGTGACGTCATTTGTTTACTCTTGAACATTGCCAAAGAATCAAACATTTCTGCTACTTTGTGCTCAATTTCATGGAACCAATCAAAATCATATCTATTTCTGTAATATATCTTCCATTCTGTCAAATGAGAAAAAAAAAAATGAGAATACAACCATAAAAACCATATGAAAATACTGCTAAGGGGTGGCTAATGGCTGAGAAGTGAACTCTATTATTTGTGGTCCGATTTCTTTAATTTTTGGTGTACGTTAAGAAGCATCTTTCCAACATACATTGCCCAAGTTTCAATAAGATAGTCCAACAAACAAATGAGATCCAAGTCCCTAGATCAAGAGTAACAGCCCCTCACCAGCATCAAGGAACCCGCTCGCTTATGGAAATTTCGCTCGTGTATGGAAGCAAAAAATTGACCGAGTGACTGCATATATTTGGAAAAATTCGCACATGGTTGCACTCGCAAATGGAGGTTCCACTGTATTTTAATAGGGTGCAGTTTTTTATATATATGTATAAAAATACAACAAATTTCCAAAACATTTTTCAAGACTGTAGGCATACTATCGAAGATACGGTACTGTTCCACAGTCAGCCCTCCTGGCCCTATGTCACTCACTTATTTACCCCTGTCTCACCTATGGAATTTGTGCATGGGGCTCAACAACAATAAACCATCTCAGACCACTAATCACCCAACAAAAGGCTGCAGTCAGAATGATAACAAATTCCCACTACAGACAGCACACTCCACCAATATTCAAAACTCTAAACCTACTCACAATACAAAACATCCATACTTATTACTGCATCTACTACATACATAGAACACTTAACTCTGACATAAACCCTCTCCTCAAACATCTCCTTACCAACCTCAACAGGACACATGACCATAACACAAGGCACAGATCACTCTTTGATGTTCCTCGTGTCCATCTCACGCTATGCAAAAACTCAGTGCACATAAAGGCCTAAAATCTGGAATTCATTAACCTGTGAATATAAAAGAAACTGTCTGTTTATAAATTCAAGTCTCTTCTCAAAAATCACTTATTCCCCCAAACAACTAAATAAATACTGAATAATTGTATCTCATAAATTGTATCTCATACATGTATCTCATTATTGTATCTCATAAATGTCAACCTGTGACCCAATCAAACTTTGTTACTATTTAACTTCATTACCTAACAGAATACTCCATTCTACTGATTACACAACAACACAGTAAATGACCATATGACCTGTCTTTGTAATACTCTTTTTTTTTTAATACTCATTCGTACTAAATTGTTATCTGTTTTACAATAATTTTTGTACCACTGAATATATCATTGCTTAGTTAATCTTAAGTTAATTTTAAGCTGCCCATAATGCTCTGTATACAAGGGGCTTGGCATGCTGCACTTTAAAAATTGTATTCCTTGTACTTCTCTGTATCATGTTCAAATTAATAAATAAATAAATAAAATATAATTACATTAAGTGGGAGCAAGGGGGCTAGTAACCCCTTCTGTATACATTACACTACTAAAGTTAAAAAGAGAAACTTTTGTTTTTCTTTTTGGGCCACCCTACCTTGGTGGAATACGCCTGGTTTGCTGAAGGAAGATAAGGCACATATAAAGTCTTCTGCAAATATTTCTTAGCCGTTTGTTCACATACAAACCATGAAGATTGATTATTACCACTTTACATTTATCAACACACAAACCTTGAAAACTTATAACTGTATTATTATATTTTTAATGCATTAAAAGAGGTCATTCAGTAAAAATGTTGGATAATCAAAATGTGAACTTGGGATGGAAGTGGGAGGGGGGGCTTCTTCCATCGATAGCTTAACCTGAAAATAATTTGTGTGTTGTACTTTATTGTATGCTAATCATAATCTTTGTAGGTCTTGTATTTTTTCCAACTATATATGTATTTGTAAAATTACGCAATCTTCATTCTAGCATTTTTTTTTTCTTTAGTGATAAGCACTCTGTAGTGTTTTTATTTCAAAAGAACAAAAGTAATTGAAGATAATATTGTTTTATAGGAGCATTGGGTGTCATTGATGCAGTAATGGGCAGTGATGATCAGCACCGTTCTGTTATTGACAAGACTTGGCGGGAAGGTTACGAATATTTCCGTGTTGAGCCCCAGCTGATCTGCCATGACGGAGAGAGCATACAGGTTGGTGATGTCTGAGAGGCTTCTCAGTGAAGTCTAAAGGGTTTGGTACTACCTTAGTTATTTTGGTAAATTTAATGTAACCTTCCAGTTATTTGAGCAGTAAAATGTGTCACCTTTCTTTGGTAATACCAAAGTTCTTATTCATACATTATAAAAGTATTCTTGGAAGTAGATAGTAAATGTTTGAACTGGTAAGTATAGTCCATTTGGTACTCAGAGCTGAAACTTTGTGAATATTCTCTATAATTCTTTACAACTTAAAATCCTTCAATATGAAGCTAACAGCTTTTAGAGTATTTTTTATTTATATATGTGCCCTTGGCTTTTTGAGAAGTAGAGCTTCTATATCTCCACCTACTTGTGTTTTTTTTTACTCGAGCAGAAATGTGTGAGCGCTTTGTAGTTAGTTACTAATTCTCCATGCACAGTAAATAAATTCTTATCCCTTTTATCAAGTATTTCTGGCTACTTTATTAACAACAGATTGCATCTCTATTTTCTAGTTATTTAATAGCTGTTCACCTATGTCTGTTAATAGTTCTGAGGATCTTCACTGCAGATCAGCCTCCTAAATTAGAAAAGAAGTATAATAGTGTACAGAGCTAAATACAGTTAAAAAGCACATTGGAAAATAAAGATAAGTGTACTTTTTTACTGAATGTAAGTAGAAGTTTGCAAGATTTACCTGTTGTCTTGTATGTTCATCAGACAGAAAGACAAGACATTTAGCCTGACTATCATACACTCAGGAGCTTCCAACTGAATAATTAATGCAACATGAAAAGGTTGGGATATGATGTCTTGGTAGCTAATTGTGATGAAGCTTGTGGCAACATGATTGTTCATGGTCACGTGCTCTGTGTGTGTGTGAGACAACAACTGAATGTACTCCATTAACAGGCAGATATGGCTATATAGGATTTAATTTTACTAAGAAACACATTACAGATTGTCATCTTAGGGATGTGACAGTGCCTGGAATCACCTTTTTTCTTCCAAGCGAGGAGGATAACTATGGCATATTCCTTGCTACCCTCTCCTCAGTAGGCAGGATAGCTTTGGAAATTTTCTTCTTGCCCTTGCCATTGGGCAAAATAGCTATGAAATCTTCCTGCCTGCCCTCTTTTCCAGTGGGAATAATATGAATTCATCAGTGTCTATAACAGCTACCCACCACAGTAAGTGTTCCGTGCTGATGAAGCTGGGTTACAATGGGAGCAGATGCCATCAAGAACTATCACAGCTATTGAAGAGAGGAATGCTCAAAATTTTAAGGCTACAAGTACATGTACATGGTATACAGGCCTAGCTGACATCAATAATATATGTACTGCTATATAGAAAGCCCCTTGTTATGCTGAGCATTTCAGGCAAATTAGGTCAGTGTCCCAGGGTGCAACCCACACCAATCGACAAGAAAACTTAACTATATTTCAGCATTTGTTTCCTTTGTATTTCTGCCTAGCTGTGCCAAGAAAAACCTTGATCATAAGACACTCCTGGGTAATGCACTATGCCATCCAGTTAATGTGAATGACCTTTCCAAGCAACCCTCACCCAGTTCATCAAAGCAGCAGATGGTGAAAATAACTCAACAATAGAAGTTAAGCAAAGTTACATCATAAATATTATTAAAACCTCCCATTCTTAAATTCACATTGGACACTGAATGATGCGTGGAAAATTCTGTTTCAAGAAAACGGTTCCAGCCGGTCATGTGAACGTCATGACTGTTACTAAAGATGTTAACTTTAAAGACAGTAAGGAGTCCGCTGTGGTCGAATTACTGGAATCTCACAGAAAAGACTTTTATGATGAGAAATTGATGCTGGTGGAAGAAGAGTGAACTGCATCTTAAAAGGATGGAAATGGGAGCTCAGAAATTGCATTCCCTCTTCATTAATTACTAGTAATTCTAAAGCCATTATCAAAGTCTTTCAACCTGATAGAAGCAGCTGTGATGATCTTTACCAAAAATTAGTCAAATAAAAATGCAACACTGTCAATGCAGAGAGATCAGCAGTGCAATTCACTGCAAATGAGAGCTTTTTAGGGAAAAGAAGGAAAGTTATATAGCCCCATTTGGAATTTAATTTATTTTTTATGCAGTCACTCCATAATTATGGTAACATCAAAGAAGTGTTCCTGTAATTGATGTAAAGCCTTTTACTAGCAACTTTACCCCTACCAAGAGTCTTGCTCCAGAAGATGTTTTCTCAGATAATCCTGCCCTTTTTGCATCAACTAAATTTCAAGCTCCATTGAATCTTGACACTGAAACATGATATGCAGCCTCTTCATTCATGCCTGAAACAAATTCCTTACTTAAATTCCAGTGTAAATACTGTACATCAAAGCCCCTGGGGTTAGGGATCATCACACCAGTCGATTAATGCCTGGCTAAGAGACCAGGCTCAAGAACTGGAGCTTGATCCCTGAAAACATAAGTGTATATACATGAATACATAAATGTCTGAAATATCTGGTAAACCAAGACTGTAATCAAACATTGTTGATACATAGTAGGCTTCCCAAAGTCCACATGGATTTGGGTCGGCTCTTCCTCGGGTTTGATATTTCTATTAATATATTCTGCTGTAAATTCCTGGCTTGCCAACAGATTTTTTTGTTATTGTACTCATGTTTCTGCCTTCCTTCATAGTGTTTCCCTTGTTTTGCATTTGTTCCCTTTACTTCCTTCAAGTATCATGAGAGAGATGGACATGAAACCTGCCGTGTGGACCAGGAACCTGTATTTCGGGAAGGAGAAAGCATACAGGTCAGACTTTGTATCACACCCTTCCCAGGATGTTTACTTAACATTAACAATTATATTGTACTGTAATATGTCATTGAAATAACCTAAAAGGTAATAAGAATGAATCCAGTGATCATATTACTTCCATTAGGCTAATAGAAGCAATAAATATATTAAGAGAGAAGAAAATAGAAGAGAAAAAACATAGGAATACAATAATTTTGAACATTTTCCTCTTACAGTATTTGCATTATCTTGAGATAATAATAATATTACTGTAACTAATACAGTTCAGTATAATACTATATACAGCATGTACCATAAATTAGTTATTAATTTAGTCAAGAAATTACTTATGCATTATACAGAGAAGCATATATGCCAGTGGAAAAATTATCAGTGGATACAGTCAAGATACTCTTACTACAGTATTTATAATACAGTATAGTAATAGTAGTATTTTCATTAAAGCTTGAATATTTACAATCCATATAAATGCCAATGTTAGTCATAACACAGGGCACCAGTTATCATTATGCAGTACAATATTAATACCCATACCATAATAAAAATAGATAATAATAATAATAGTTATAATAATAATAATGATACACAGTAAAAAACAGTAGCACTGTATTATTTATAATAATACAGTAGTCTCGATTTTCACTGGTTTGGAAAGTTTAGTTTGGTAGAACACAATTTTTTTCACACTAAGTTTTTAAGTGTTAGTAGTTAGGTTTAATGAAGCTTAGGCAAATGTATGGACTCAATATATTTATCTATGAGTTTGCTATCTTACATGTTTCAAGTGTTAATGCCATTATAGCTGTATTTAAGAAAATATGGCCATATGAACCTGTGCTGGTCCACCCAAATCACTTTTATGAAGAGCTCAAAAATCAAGACAATGTATATTCAATGGATTTATTAGACCCCATTTGTACGCTGTATGGCTTTCATTATTAGTACTGTTCAAGCACTGTTTAAGGACATGCTCTATGAATATGGCAGCTGTTGCCAGCCCACCTAATTTGTCTTTTTTCAACAAACCCAGAATCAAAACCAATTACTGACTTTTTTAAAACTTTGGGGAAGAATATGAGAAGAACTGAGGAACCATCATATTAGCAGTTCATAATTAATAACCACTTAGTATATTGTTTCAAGGCTGTCACTAGTTAGGGAAACACATTGCATTTTTTTTTTTTAATTTTCATAATCTTAAAACTTTCACCTCACTCATACATAATCACTGTTATTGCAGAGGTGCCCAGATACAAAAGTTTAGAAGCATATATTATAAAGATATATAACATATCTCTCCAAACTGCCAATATCCCAAAACCCTCCTTTAAAGTGCAGGCATTGTACTTCCCATTTCCAGTACTCAAGTCCAGCTATATAAAAATAGCCGGCTTAACTAAATCTCTTCACTAAATATTACTCTGTTCACACTCCAACAGCTTGTCAGGTCCCAAAAACCATTCGTCTCCATTTTTTTTTTTTTTTCAACAAGTCGGCCGTCTCCCACCGAGGCAGGGTGACCCAAAAAGAAAGAAAATCCCCAAAAAGAAAATACTTTCATCATCATTCAACACTTTCACCTCACTCACACATAATCACTGTTTTTGCAGAGGTGCTCAGAACACAACAGTTTAGAAGCATATATGTATAAAGATACACAACATATCCCTCCAAACTGCTAATATCCCAAAACCCCTCCTTTAGAGTGCAGGCATTGTACTTCCCATTTCCAGGACTCAAGTCCGGCTATATAAAAATAATCGGTTTCCCTGAATCCTTTCACTAAATATTACCCTGCTCACACTCCAACAGATCGTCAGGTCCCAAATACCATTCGTCTCCATTCACTCCTATCGAACACGCTCATGCATGCCTGCTGGAAGTCCAAGCCCCTCGCCCACAAAACCTCCCTTACCCCTTCCTTCCAGCCTTTTTGAGGACGACCCCTACCCCGCCTTCCTTCTCCTACAGATTTAAATGCTCTCCATGTCATTCTACTTTGATCCATTCTCTCTAAATGACCAAACCACCTCAAGAACCCCTCTTCAGCCCTCTGACTAATACTTTTATTAACTCCACACCTTCTCCTAATTTCCACACCACACATTGCCCTTAGACAGGACATCTCCACTGCCTCCAACCGCCTCCTCACTGCTGCATTCACAACCCAAGCTTCACACCCATATAAGAGTGTCGGTACTACTATACTTTCATACATTCCCTTCTTTGCCTCCATAGATAACATTTTTTGACTCCACATATATCTCAACGCACCACTCGCCTTTTTTCCTTCATCAATTCTATGATTAACCTCATCCTTCATAAATCCATCTGCCGACACATCAACTCCCAAGTATCTGAAAACATTCACTTCTTCCATACTCCTCCTCCCCAATTTGATATCCAATTTTTTTATCTAAATCATTTGATACCCTCATCGCCTTACTCTTATCTATGTTCACTTTCGACTTTCTACCTTTACACACCCTCCCAAACTTGTCCACTAACCTTTGCAATTTTTCTTTAGAATCTCCCATAAGCACAGTATCAGCAGCAAAAGTAACTGTATCAACTCCCATTTTGTATTTGATTCCCCATAATTTAATCCTACCCCTCTTCCCAACACCCTAGCATTTACTTCTTTTACAACCCCATCTATAAATATATTAAACAACCATGGTGACACTACACATCCCTGTCTAAGACTTACTTTTACCGGGAAGTAATCTCCCTCTCTTCTACACACCTTAATCTGAGCCTCACTATCCTCATAAAAACTCTTTATAGCATTTAGTAACTTACTACCTATTCCATATACTGTACTTGCAACATCTGCCACATTGCTTCCCTATCCACTCTATCATATGACTTTTCTAAATCTATAAATGCAATAAAAACTTCTCTACCTTTGTCTAAATACTGTTCACATATATGCTTCAATGTAAACACTTGATCTACACATCCCTTACCCACTCTAAAGCCTTCTTGCTCATCCGAAACCCTACTCTCTGTTTTACCTCTAATTCTTTCAATAATAACCCTACCATACACTTTTCCTGGTATACTCAGTAAACTTATTACCCTGTAATTTTTACAATCTCTTTTTTCCCCCTTCCCTTTATATAAAGTAACTATACATGCTCTCTGCCAGTCCCTAGGTACCTTCCCCTCTTTCATACATTTATTAAACAAAAATACCAACCACTCCAACACAATATCCCCCCCTGCTTTTAACATTTCTGTCATGATCCCATCAGTTCCTTCTGCTTTACCCCCTTTCATTCTACATAATGCCTAATGCACCTCCCCCACACTCACATCCTGCTCTTCTTCACTCTTAAAAGATGTTATACCTCCCTGACCAGTGCATAAAATTACTGCCTCCCTTTCATCATCGACATTTAAAAGTTCCTCAAAATATTCCTGCCATGTACCCAATACCTCCAGCTCCCCATCTACTAACTCCCCTACTCTGTTTTTAACTGACAAATCCATTCGTTCCCTAGGCTTTCTTAACTTGTTTATCTCACTCCAAATTTTTTTTCTTATTTTCATTAAAATTTCTTGCCATTGCCTCTCCTACTCTTTCATCTGCTCTCCTTTTGCACTCTCTTCACTTTTCTTTTACTCTCCATATACTCTGCTCTTCTTATAACACTTCAGCTTTGTAAATACCTCTCATAAGCTACCTTTTTCTCTTTTATCACACCTTTTACTTCATCATTCCACCAATCTCTCCTCTTTCCTCCTGCACCCATCCTCCTATAGCCACAAACTTCTGCCCCACGTTCTAATACTGCATTTTTAGAACTATTCCAGCCCTCTTCAACCCCCCCACTACTTATACTTGCACAAGCCCACCTTTCTGCCAATAGTTGCTCATATCTCACCATAACTTCCTCCTTCCTTAGTTTATACACTTCCACCTCTCTCTTACTTGTTGTTGCCATTTTCCTTTTGTCCCATCTACCTCTTACTCTGACTGTAGCTACAGCTAAATAATGATCTGATATATCAGTTGCCCCTCTATAAACATGTACGTCCTGGAGCCTACCCATCAACCTTTTATCCGCCAATACATAATCTAACAAACTACTTTCATTATGTGCTATATCATACCTTGTATACTTATTTATCCTCTTTTTCATAAAATATGTATTATTACCAAACCTCTTTCTACACATAGCTCAATTAAAGGCTCCCCATTTTCATTTACCCCTGGCACCCCAAATTTGCCTACTACTATGTCCACAACATTTGTACCCACTTGAGCATTGAAATCCCCAACCAGAATTACTCTCACATTTGGTTCAAAATGCCCCATGCACTCACTCAACATTTCCCTAAATCTCTCTCTCTCTCCTCTACACTTCTCTCTTCCCCAGGTGCATAAACACTTACTATAACCTACTTTTCACATCCAACCCTTATTTTACTCCACATAATCCTTGAATTAATACATTTATATTCCCTGTTTTCTTGCCGTAACTTATCCTTCAACATTATTGCTACTCCTTCTTTAGCTCTATACTCTGTTTGAAACCCCTGACCTAATCCCATTTATTACTCTCCACTGAAACTCTCCCACCCCCTTCAGCTTCATTTCACTTAAAGCCAGGACATCCAGCTTCTTTTCATTCATAACATCCACAATCATCTCTTTCTTATCATTCGCACAACATCCACGCACATTCAAACATCCTACTTTGATGGTTTTCTTCTTTTACTTTTTAGTAGGCTATACAGGAAAAGAGGTTACTAGCCCATTGTTTCCGGTATTTTAGTTGACTTTTACAACATGCATGGCTTACGGAGGAAAGATTCTTATTCCACTTCCCCATGGATATAAAAGAAAAAGCAATAAGAACAAGAACAATTAAGATAAAATCAAAGAAAACTCAGATGAGTGTGTATACATAAACGTGTACAATGTATGTGTAGTGTGACCTAAGTGTAAGTAGAAGTAGCAAGACGTACCTGAAATCTTGCATGTT